GCAGGGAGTCCTGCCTGAACCATAGAATATTGTGTTTTAAAAGCACATTTTTCATCATAATTTACTTGGTACATGTGACATTGCTACAGCTGCAACAAGTCTTGTAGCAGAGATGTGAGGAAWTGTACTGAAAGCCTGTCTCACAGTGACTGAAGGGTTGTTTGGATATTTGAAATTGTAGCTTCTGCATGTTTCCCTTTGAAAGAATAAAACTGAAGKAATAGGTGCTCAAGGGAAAGAGCAATACCTAGCCAGGAGATGTGACTAATGGCTCTTAAAGTAAACTTGTCAGTTAGAGGGTCTATTTTAAGTTGATGAAACTGAAAATCACAAACTTGAGCCTTCACCCAGAACAAAATATAAACAGTACRAAGAGTGCTTCCTGCTGCACTTAGTGAGTGTGGTTAATTTAACACTGGCATTCTCAAAATCTTCAATTGCTTGTTTGCAAGTGTGTCTTGCAGCATYGAAATGTTAACTTTATATAGTGTTGCATTTGGGTTTAGTTTGCAAGTCTTTGATTTTGGTTTTTTTTTTTTTTTCCCTCTTTTGGAATGGTCAGATTTTTTATTTTTAAAATAAATATGGTCTTGCCTCAGATTGTTTTTTGTTATTAGTTGACTGGATTTTGGTGAAAGTTATGGTACTAAAGGCTCTCTGAAGAGGAAAGAAGGTAGTGGTGTACCTGATCCTTGGACTTTTCCACRGCTCCACAAGTCCTGTCCCCTCCAGGCAGGAGAAAGTTTCCTTTGGAATTATTACACACCAAACCTTGGACTTTGGGATGTTAATCTTTTAGAGGTGCAGCTATTATAGTAGTTTTGGGATCAAAACTCCAGTTTCAAGTCTAGGTGTGGTGTTTTTTTATTCTCTACTTGTTGTTGAAGTAACTAATTTGACAAATGATTATTTTTGTTTCATGCAGAGGTTTAGGTAACTTATCTTCTGCTTTCTTGGTTTCAACTTTGTAGTCTTAAAAGGACTTCTCCTTCCTGAGTAATTATGTTGGCTAAGATAATTCTTAGATGTGTTGTTCTTAGAGCTTATTCTTTTAGCCTCCCTATTTAGAGTTATTTTGCTAACCTTTTCTTTRTATACTTAATGACCAGAACAACAGAAGAGAGATTAGCTGCCATGACAAGGAACAGAAAAATCCTCTTTTTAACGAGAGTTTTGTTCTGTTTTTCTGTCTTTCATCAATTTAGGTCTCAGTTCTTTTTCCTAAAGAAGCACYTCCATATTAAGCCACCTTTGAAACAAAGATCTTTTAAACAAAAGGAAGATGTTTGATGTTGTTATATACCCCTTCATTAGTAAATACACTTATTCTTTGAAACACGATGGCCTCTTTCCAGCTATGTGCACTGTAACTTTAGCCTTGTGACCTTGCRGTGTCAGAGAACCTCTTTGAGGAAGTCATCGTGGTTATTTTCACAGGGTCTGGGAGCAATAGGGGTAGGACAGAACAGAAGAGGGGCTTTTGACTTGGAGGCAGTTCTCACAGATGCACAATCCTCCCCTGAGGAGTAACTCGACTGGTTACCGGCTGCTTACCAGCCTGGGTGTTCAAAGTCCCTTTTAAAAAAGGGACGTAGCCASCTATTCCGGTTGGTGTCTCGGTGTAACCGAGGCGCCCCGTCCCGTTGTCCCCCTGTCCCGCT